TCTTTTTAAGGGCAGTCTTCTGCAGGGTTTTCCTTGCCTGCAATGGGAAGTATTTGGATCTTGTCCAGAGGGTGGTGGGTTTTAACTAGGTGTGCTCTGTCTGGTCTGCTTGTTAAAAGAGACTATATCCTGTTTCCACTAGAGCTGAAGCTTTGCAGCACTCTGTGGTCGGTTGACTTGGTGTGTGGGGGGAAGTTTGTGCTGGTCTTCTCGGGGGAAGGACCCACTATTTTGGTTCTCAGGCACACTTGCCCTAGTAAAGAAGCACCTGCAGAGTGCAGAGGTGTGGGACTTGGTGTAGTGGCTAAGGTCTTCATTATTGGTGCTGTTTTGCTCCACAAAGTCAGTCCATGCTGATGGGTGGTTGAGAGAAATGGTGCCAGCCATCTCCTTCCTCCCCAGGGAGGGGAGCTCGATCCCACCATTGTCCGGGAAGCCTTTACAGAAGAGCAAACATTCTTCCTCATGTCTCCCAGGCTTCCCTCAAATTCCTACCTTCACCCTGTCTGTATCTGGACTATCTGCCTTCCCAGCAGTGCAGTGCACCTGTGTTTTATCTCAGGCACACTGAGTTTTAGAACTCCAAACTCTAGAGACCCAGCGTGGCGTGGACCTGTGCTGGTCCTCTCAGAGAGGGTTGCTGCACTGCGGTGGGTGCCAGCTTGTCCCAGAAGTGCAGTCATACCCATAGGCAGGAATGTGGATTATAAAATGCAGAAAAAAAACAGAGTCCAAGTTTGCCACCCTTAGCAGGTGTTTCTTCCCCTATGCTAAGGAACCAGACAGTGCAGTGGAGCCTGCTGTCTCTTTCGTTCCTTGAGAAGTAATGACATCTCTCCCAGATATACATGAAGAAGCAAAAACTGTCTTCTCACAGTTTGTCCCAGGGGTTCCTCAGATTGCATTGTCTACTCCCAGGCCTCCTCCATTCTTCTCCACAGGGGCACATCTTCACTTGCTGGGCTTCACACCCCCACAGCAAAGACTTCTAAAACTCCAATTTTTGAGCTCCACTGGTTGAAAAAACTCACAATAATCAGCCCCTCTCATTTTCCCAGTTCATGCTTTTAAGGAAGTGTTTTTCTTGTGCTATCCCCTGTACACTGCTCTCCTCCTACCTGCCCCCCACCCCCCTCCAATCTCTCAGGCTCTCACCTCTCTCCATGATCAGGGCTCCCCTCTCTTCCCTGGCACCCATGATCCTTTTCTCCCCTAAATCACATCTCCACACCTTCTGCCTTCTACATTGTAGCCTCATCTTTCCCTCTAGTTGTGCAGTTTGTTGTCTCAGTCTTCAAATAGATTTCCTGGGTGTTCAGAATGATTAGATATTTATCTAGCGTGTTCAAGGGATGAGGCAACCACGTACTACTTCACCGTCTTAACCTCACCTCCCCAGGCTGGATTCTTTCACTTAGCAATATGCATTTAAGATTCATCCATGCCTTTCTGTGGCTTAGTATGTCATTTCTTTTTATCAATTCTAAGAAAAGCAATAGAAATAAATTATTCAGAAATAATAGAGTAGTATATTAGATATAGTAGTGTTCATAAGTAGATCTTTGGCCTTGTTTACTTGGGGAAAATGATAAAAGAAAATGTTAAGTATTAAAGAGTCTTTTATGCAGTACTGTGAAATGGGTTATAGCTGGGCTGAGATATTGATATCTCAAGGCTTAGAGAGCAGAAGTAATTACAAGAGATTTGAGCCAGAGAAAGACTGCAAAGATCAGTGACATAAAACAGTGTCTTTAATAAAAGATTCTCTTTGGTTAATCCAACAGAATGCTGCATCTCTGTCTTTTCCCACTAAACTATATTACATATGAATTAAAAATACAATTGAAAAACACAAAAACATGAGTTTAAATTGTGTGAGTCTACTTATACACACAGGTTTTTTTTCAATAAATACAGTACGGGAGATGTATTTTCTCTTCCTAATGGCTTTCTTAAGATTTTCTTTTCTCTAGCTTACTTTACTGTAAGAAAATAATATACAATACATGTAACATACAAAATATGTGTTAATTAACTGTTTATCAATAAGAGTTCTCATCAAAAGTAGGCTATTAGTAAAGTTTTGGGAAGCCAAAAGCTATACATGGATTTTTAACTGTGCAGCGTTTGGTGCTCCAACCCCTGCATCGTTCTCAGGTCAACTGTAAAATGTTAGGATAAAATCATGTTACTATGTACATAATCTTGGAGAAGGGAAGATTTTATAAGGCAAATATCAAAGCTAGGACCTTGAAAGTATATTTGAAACATTCATAGAAAAAATATGTAAGTGACGAATAAAATAAAAAATGCTTATTGATGACCTTAAAAATTAAATTGAAAAAAATATGTGTGTTTGATATTTTTTAACCAGTGGGATTGGTAGTAATTTAATTTTATTATGGAAGATGTTGCTGTGTTGCTGGTATGATTGCATATTTGTTTAAATTTTTGATAAGATAGTTTGGCAATATCAAAATACAAATATTTATATACTTTGACTTAGCAGTTCCACTTTTTGGAAACTACTACATATAGAATTGCATAAATATGCCAAGGAAATTATAAAAATACCTATCACAACATGTTTGTAATGACCTAAATATATTTATAATATAATAATATGTGTTATTGTTTTAAAATGTTATTTATTTTTGAGTGAGAGAGAGAGCATGTGTGAGCAGGGGAGGGCAGAGAGGGAGGGAGACAGAGAATCTGTAGCAGGCTCTGTGCTGACAGCCGACAGTGTGGTATGGAACTGAACTCATGAACTGCGAAATCATGACCTGAGCTGATGTTGAACGCTTAACAGAATGAGCCACCCAGGTGCCCCAGTATGTGTTATTAATTATTAATTTTTAAGTGTAAATTGTGGATTAAGTAGATACATTAGAAGACATTTATGCTATGGAATGTTATGACAGTACCAACAAAGACATTTAAATACAGTTAAATTTCAAAGATGACCAGGATGTAAGTGAAAATTGGAAGTTGTTGAGTATAGGTGTAGTATGTTTAGTATGACTGTACTTGTGTAAAAACAGTAAATGGATAGGAAACATGTGAATATGTGAGAAAGTGTCTGAAAAAAATAAAAGGAGCTGTTAACAAAGGTCATTACCTCCCTCTGAATTACATGGAAGATCATAAAGTGGAGACAGGTGGGGGAAGGGAGAATTTTCTCTTTCTCTTGATCTTCTGTGGTATTTAAAATTTACTTAAACAAACATATTGAAACTTCATGTATTACTTCTTCTGGAAAAAAACAAACACCAAAACCCCAGAGAATACTCACATAGTCAAAATACCTACCAGATTAGTAAAAAATATATTTACCTATCATAAAAAAAATATGAAAAATAATAATAAGAAATACCTGTATGTTCAATTTTGCAATGTATCAAATAATGAGATTATTCTTAGTCTAATCTACTACCTCCAAGAAAGTGAATGATGAAACCAGAGATCACAGTTCAAATATCTGACATGGCAAAGGAGGTAACACAAATAATGCAAATTTAGCCCAGTTATAGATACAAATTATCGGCCTGAATATTCATCAACCTCTTATAATCTGAATATGTACAAAATTATAGGGTATATTTTACATTAAAAAAAATAAGTATTTTGTGCAAGGGCACCTGGGTGGCTCAGTCGGTTGACATCTGACTCTTGATTTCGGCTTCTCTCATGATCCCAGAGTTATAAGATAAAGCTCCATGGTCAGGTTCTAAGCTGAGAATGGAGCCTGCTTAAGATTCTCTCTCTCTCTCTTCCTCTGCTCCTCTCCGCACTTGTGTGCGTGTTCTCTCTCTCTCTCTCTCTCTCTGTCAAATATAAATAAATAAATAATAAATAAATAAGTAAATAAAATAAAATGTTTTATACATAAAATTTGCATCTGAAAGTTTGATGGCCATGAATCAGTTAAAGAATCTTCAGGATTGGTTCTTTGGGGGTCTTACATCATTCAGGAAGTAATCTTGATCTGATATTAAGGAAGTGAAAATAGAATTAGCTAAGGCCATTGTTAAAATGCAGATTCCTAGATATTACACCAGATTCAAAGGGAAAGGGCTGGGAATATATGTATTTTTAATGTTTATTTATTTATTTATTTATTTAGAGACTGCATGAGAAGGGAAAGGGTAGAGAGAGAAGGAGAGAGACCAGGCAGGCTCTACACTCAATGGGGAGCCCTATGCAAGGTTGGATCCCATGACTGTGAGATCATGACCTGAGCCTAAATCAAGAGCCAGATGCTTAACAACCTGAGCCACCCAGGTGTCCTGGGCTGGGAATGTATTTTTAACAAGCATCATTGCTCATTAATATTATCCAGTGAGTTTAGGAAATCTAGATTTACTATAATATCCAGTCTTTGAGTGTGATTTTTAAGATTTTAATCAAATCTTAAAGATAAGCATTTTTCCTTTGATGATATTCAGAAGAATATCCTCTAGAGCCAAAGGTTGCTTCAAAAAATAAATTTAATAAAATAGTTCAAGCTACAGTAAAAAATTAGACATAACTTCAAATATTATGGCTTTGCTGTAAACATTAAGAAATTACTGTTTTAGCCAAAATATACTGTAACCTAAGTATACTTTTCACATGTGTTTAAGGTATTGATTGATGAATTCATTATGGTTCTCATACTGTATTATAACTTGGAAAGAAAAATAAAGGCTAATTTTTTTGTTTGTTTCTTTTCTTAATTTGAAAACTCCTTCCCTGGCACCACATGCTTCAATTGTGTTTACATTAATTTACCCCCAACTTTGTGAATTATGATTTTTAAAGTAATGTTTCTCAGTTTTGTTCTATGTTTTCTATATTTTAACATAATATTTAATAAATGTTATTTAGTAATATATGTATTTAAAAAATAAAGTGAAGTGATTGAAAGAGATTAAGAAGGTTATGTTAGGCAAGTCTGATTTATAAAGACAGATAGATAAATTTCTGTAAATTCACAATTTAATTTTTTTGCCCCAAAGATACTTGCTCAGCAACAAGGAATGGAACCAGTTGTACCTCTTCAAGTTCTTCACTTTCTAACTACTTGTATGTGTTCATCTTGGGACAACTCTTGCTGGGAACAGGAGGAACTCCTCTTTATACCCTGGGAACAGCTTTTATTGATGATTCTGTGCCCACACACAAATCTTCTCTTTACATAGGTAAGTTTTCTCTATAAAATAAATGTTTCAGTATCATTTCATTGCTTTTTAAATTGATAAGTAAAAGCATAACATAATGCTTATGAAAAGTTGTAATTTCATAGGCATTTCTATTCAATTTCCATTAAATATTAGATAGAGCAATATTACTCTTTTTGATTGTTTACTGACACATGTCCTTCAGTTGAATGCGGTTATGAGTTTTGTTGACATCCCGCTCTATATCCTGTTCCGGGCATGCCAGCCCTCCTAGAACTGCCATCCAAGCAGTAGGCTGTCTGGATTAATTGAATTCCAGGTTAATTTACACAGGGTGGGGAGATTGAGTTGGCCATTCTACCTGATTTACTAAATCTTTTATGGACTTAACTAGAGTCAACAAAAGAAACCACAAGACAGTACCCAGAACTCTGTGGACTTTTCATTTCAGACTAATCCTGGTTATGTGTGGCTCAATTCTGGGTTGGTGGCTGGGGGGAGGGAGGGGGGAGCGGAAAGGCGGTGCTGAACCTAATTTTTGGGAGCGTAAGTTTCTCTTAAATTCCTTCTGTGATATTCTTGCAAGGTAGAGTTTACTAGGCTGTGTGTGTGGCCTTACATCAAATTAATGTGTTTCACATTCTGTAAGTTTTCATCTTATCAGTTTATTATTCTAATATAGGGGGCTGCCTTAGTTCTTTTAATCTGCTGTAACAGAATACCATACACTGGTTGGCTTGTAAACAACAGAAATTTATTTCTCATGGTCCTGGAGGCTGGAAAGTCTAAGATCAGGGTACCCACAGTTTCAGGATCTGGTGAGGCCCATTTCCTGGTTCATAGACAGCCATCTTTTTCTTGTGTCCTCACATGGCAGACAGGTAAGAAAGGGGTTTCTGGGGCATCTTCTTAGAAAGGTACTAATCTAATTTGTGAAGGCTCCGCTCTCATGACATAATCAGTTCCAAATATCTCACCTCTTCCCATCACACTGGAAACCTACATCCCAGGTTTAAACATAGGAATTTGAGGGGACACAAACATTCGGTGTATAACAAGAACTTATTGCTATAGTAACTGGAAGTCAAGTGTGTTCACAGCAGCCCTGATGGAGACTATTAAACCTACTTAGGCTCTTCCTTAATATGAAAACCACTACACTTCTAGTTGTTTTCTCTACTTGTCTTGTGTTGGTCTCTCTGCAAAATCTCATTGTCTCTCTCTCCAAGTTCTAGCTGATCTGTATAGCTTCTCTTTCATTTACTAATTAGTAATGCTTTTATTTCAGTTAGCTAGTAATGATGCTTTTCACTCTCTCAGTTTAGCATATTTCCTTTCTGAAGTCCTCTTCTGATCAATAATTCTCATAAAACAGTTTTAATCTTCATGTGTTAGTAACACAAAATTAGGAAGTTTTACAAAAATTATTTAAATTTTTTTTTCAACATTTATTTATTTTTGGGACAGAGAGAGACAGAGCATGAACGGGGGAGGGGCAGAGAGAGAGGGAGACACAGAATCAGAAACAGGCTCCAGGCTCCGAGCCATCAGCCCAAAGCCTGACACGGGGCTCGAACTCACGGACCGCGAGATCGTGACCTGGCTGAAGTCGGACGCTTAACCGACTGCGCCACCCAGGCGCCCCCAAAAATTATTTAAACACGGTAGGTAGAGTGGAGGCCCACAGGACTGTCCCAGATTTGATAAATCTCTGGGAGGACTTGCTGGACTTAGCATATAATCATATTCATAGCTGTGAATTATTACAGGGAGGGATGCCAAGGAAAATCAGTAAAAGGAAAAGTACAGACAAAAACCAGGTACAAGCTTCGAAGATTTAGCTTCCTCCTAGTGGAGCCAGACAGTTCACAATTGCTTCTGCCAGCAAGGAGTTTGAAATGTTTTCTACCAGTTAAGTTCATTAGAGGTTCAATGTCCAAGGATTTTATTGGGGGTTGATCATGTAGGGACCCTTTGCCTTGCATGTATTAAAAGTTCTAGACTCTTAAAAGGAATACAAGTGGTCAGCAAAATCATACTGTTTGTACAGTGTAGGTGCAGTCAGGCAGGCACCCTAATTAGTTAGGGAATGGTGGCATCCTTCTGGACAGTTACATAAATCCCAAATGCCAGCCAAGGGCCAGCCTTGCAAACAGGTCTTTCTAAAGTTAACAGTCACAGGCCTGCTATGTGAACTCTTTCTTATACTGTAGGAATTTATCAAATGGTAACTTTTGAGAGCAAAGGAAAACAACAGAAGTAACAAAACTGGGAAACACATTTTATCTCTTTATGTTAAGGAAAATATGAACACTTAATTATAGTATCTTGTATACCTGATTTTTTTTTTCAATTTCAGATAACCAGTATTTTTTAGTAGGTATTTAAGTTTTGTTGTGTGAAAAAGTTTCTTTTCTATGCTTTTTATCTCTTTTTATTTCCCCCATTTCCAAAATCTTCCTCCATTCTTTCTTTCTTTTAAAACAGTATCTATTTTTGGTAGCATACATTATTCTATGAAACAAATTTTATACATAACAAGGCAAAAAGGGGCAAAAATAAAACAATCAAAATTTGCTACCTTTTAGAGTGAATTAAAAAAAGTAGTTAATGTAACATCTCAATCCTTACAATCTTTTCCAGGCCATTCACCCTTTATTCCCTTATTTCTTTGATGCTTTCATTGGGTTAACAATCTTTGTTCTTTAATCCCAACTTTTTAATTCATTTAATGTTATTTTGTGTTTAAATCTTTCATCTTAACATGTGCAAAACATATTTGCTCTATGTTCTTATTTCTTAGCCTTTTTTTCTTTCTTTTTGATAATTTAATGTTTATTATTTCATTTCTTCACTTTTATCAATTTCCTCCTTTTATCAGTATCCTTTACTGTTCATCTACTAATGACCTTATATGCAAACTTGATATTATGAAATTCTGAAGTTAACTGATATTTTTATCACATTCCTGTTTATCACAAAGGTTCTAGAACTCTTTCAGTAAAAATTTTTTTTAACACTTTTCCCTGATAAATATTTTCACTGGGAATAGATAACCAGTTGACAGTTGATTTTTTTTTTCAGTACTTTAAAAATACTGTTTCTTTGTCTTTTCACTTCCAATGTTTCTTATATATGTTTGCATTTTTAAGATTTTTCTGTTTGATATGATTTTCTTCAGTTTTACTTATATGATGTGTATAGGTGCAAAATTCCTTTTATTTAACTTGTTTTGGATTTATATGACTTGGATTTACATGTTTTGGATTTATACGTTGTTTTGTACTTTCATTGGCTTTAGGATATTTCCTATAATTATTTATTTAAATATAACTTCTTTCCTATTATCTCCTCTCCTAGAACTCCAATTACATGTATGCTAAGCCTTTTTATTTTTAATGCATTCTTCATCCCTTACTCTTTTCTGTATTTTTTATCCTTTGTTTTTATTTTTTGTGCTTCTCGATAAATATTTACTGACTTAATTGTATTTTCCAGTTGGTAATCTTAAGTTCTGAGGAATCTGTTGTGGATCTCTTTCATTTCACTTTGACAAAGGTGTTTTATACTTGTACCACTTTTCTCCAAACCCCACTCTGTCTTTTAATAAACTCCCAATCTCTGATATATTTGGGAACACTGCAGTCTGGGATGCCCTTTATCTGACTTCGCAGGTTGAGTTTATTTGAAGCAAAGCTGTATTTACTTTGTGAGCAAGTCTATTTGTAATTCACCCTTACTTTTAGAGTATAGCCTCCTAGGTGCCAATGTAAAATGTAGGGTAGAGGAAGTTAATAACTTCCAAGTTAGGGGCCCTGAACTACAACTTTGGTTTCCCTCCTTCCCAGACACTACCAAGGATTGCTAACCCCCAGTGTCTCTTGTAGAATCAGCCACTATATGTAGGAAAAAAATCAGTCCCATTTTTTTAGATGTCCCTCTTCAGAATCTTGACTCTGGTCCTTCAGAATTCTTATATGTTTCCAGATCATCTTGCATGACTTCTACTTTGGAGACTTGGTCAAGTATATAAGTCATTTTTGCCATTGACACATGCTTAACTTTGGATATGTTATATTTTGTTCTTTTGTATATGAGAATGAGAATCTCAGCAATTAATAAAAAATTCAGAAAGTGGTAATATATGAAGATACTAATTAATGTACACATCTTTTTTGGTAAAAATTTAAATGTTATGTATGGCAAAAATTTAAGTATCAGAGAAATAAGTTAGTTTAATTCTGCTGCAAGTTAAAGTGGAAGATTCACTAAGTGCAGGAATTTAAATTAATGGCTTACTTTTATGAAACAGACTAATGACCAGATCCAGGTTTTAAAATCAGCTGCTGTAGTGCAAAATACAGATTGCTTTTGGAGTGTCTACACAATAGAAAAGGCTCCTCATTTCACATCATTTTTTCCATAAGAATTGTGAACAGTAACTAATATCACCATCCACAAAGGGTAGTAGTAGATGCACTACCTCTGCCACCAAGTAATGTAATGTAACTTTCCATGAATTTATAGTTGTTAGATTTATTGCAATTATTGCAGTCTAACAATTTATACACTGAATTACATAAATATTTATATTTAAAATGTTTTATATTTATTTTTAAAATATTTTTTAAGCTGTTTGACTTGACAAGTACTATTCGATGGTATTTTTTTACTGAAAATGTGTAATTTTGGTGTAATTCTAATCATTTCATGATTTTTCTAGTGTAAAATATTTGTCTTCACTGCTGTAAGCTTTTCAAAGCACAATTGTACAGTTGACTATCTTCAATGTCTTTGTTCTTCCAGGAATTGGCTATTCTATGTCAGTATTAGGCCCTGCTATTGGTTATGTGTTGGGAGGACAGCTGCTAAGCATGTACATTGATGTGAACATGGGACAAAGGCAAGGCGACATCTCTTTTTCTTTTATATGTTTATTTTATTTTAATAATGTTAACATCATAGAACGTTTTCAAAGAATTTCCTCAGATAACATGAGGGATTTTTCAGGAAACAGAACTGAATACACACAATATTTATATAATACTTTATCTGTACTTCATGAATTAATGCCATACCACCCCTTAGTATAATAAATTTATTCATAAATAAGGATGCTTAATAGTCATCTGAAAATTTTCAAAATACACCTCTAGGACTTCATGCATTGCTCAGAATGAAGAATTTAATCAAAATTAGTTGTGCTTTTAGTAGATTTAGCTGGATGTAGATAGCCTGAAAAGTCTCAAAAGTCTATGATTCTTAAACTAAGTGCTGTAGTAGCTTTGATATGGTCATAAGAATTGCAATTGTGTGGTTTCAGCTCTGGCCATAGAGGATAATAAGAGGTAATATTTATTTATCCCATACTATTTTCTATAGTTTTTTTTATAGGTTTTGTGTGTTACATTATTTTACATACTTCTTCATTTAATTCTCTTAATAATCCTATAAGGTAGTTGATATACAGAGGTTGTTAAGTGGCTAAGACATAAATCCAAGTAGACCTTTGACTCCCAAATCTTCCTTTTAACCACTGAGTTACCTTCTCTTTTTCCGGAATATAGAAAAGTCAGTAACCTTTGGTGAGTCCATATTTTCTCATTTTACCACTAGGAATCAAAACTGCGCAATCCTTTGTGTGACTGTGAGTAATGAATAGAAAATGTGGTCATGGATATGTGATTTTCTCTTTGAGCTGTTAGTCCCAGGTTAATTTTTAGAAACTGTATAAGAAGATGTGCAGATGAAGTCCTTGAAACAGAGAGCTGGGTTTTTAAGAAAGGTTTTAAATTTCAGTGGAGAATTACATGAGTTGTAGTAATGGTGTGTTTGGGAGGGAAACCTTTTTTTTTTTTTTTTTTTTAAGTAGACTCCATGCCCAGCATGGAGCCCAGTGTGGGGCTTGAACTCATGACTCTGAGATCAAGGCCTGAGCTGAGATCAAGAGTTGGACCTTCAATTGACTGAGCCACCTAGGAGCCCCAGAAATATCTTGATCTAAAATGCTGGGAACGGTTATAAAACTTAAGAAATTACTTTAAGAAGAACTTTACAGTCGGACAGAGAAAGACAAATACTATATGATTTCATATATATGTAAAATCTAAAAAAAAAACCGAAACAAACAAACAAAAAAGCCCGTAGATGCAGAGAACAAATTTGTGGCTACCATTTGGATATGTTATATGTTATAGGTGGGGGATGGGTGAAATGGGTAAAGGGAGTCAAAAGGTACAAGATTACAGTTATATATGAGTCATGGGATGTAATATACAACACGATGACTATAGTTAGTAATACTGTACTGAATATTGGAAAGTTGCTAAGACAGTAAATCTTGTAAGTTCTCAAAACAAGAAAAATACTTCTGCAGCTAAGATGTTAGACTTAATGTGATCATTTTGTAATATATGGTAATATCACATTATGTTGTATACCTGAAACTAATATAATATTGTATGCCAGTTACACCTCAATAAATAAATAAATAAAACGAATTTTATGTTTAAGTGAATGCCTTAAGACACAGTGTATGTGCTTTTAACACAGATCAGTGATTTGTTATAAGATGTATTCAATATAGTTGAGAAGAAAAACTTAGCCAAATAAGGTAGTTTAGAAATTCTATGTATGCTTTCAGATATTTAGCATATATATATTTACTCTTAAATATTTTACACTTTTATGTCATAGTGCCATTTTGATATACTTTGTAAACCATTATTATAGTTTTCATTTATGCCTGCTTTCTGTTGTCTGATTCATCACAGTGACTCAGCTTTAAATGTTGAATGTTGTAATAATATTCCCCTATATATGTACTTGAATTACAAAGTATAGTTATCATAACTAAATTTTAGTGAACAAGGTAAAGTTGACTTTTACATTTTGTTTTTCTGTCGTATAGCATAGATATTACTGAAGATGATCCACGATGGCTGGGGGCATGGTGGATTGGATTTCTTCTGTGTTGGCTCTTTGCTTGGTCTTTGATCATTCCTTTTTTATGCTTCCCAAAACATTTACCAGGTATTCATTTTTGTTAAAATCAAAGAGTTTTATTCCAATTCTAGGCCAACTGTTGCTTTTTGTATAGTTGATAAGAACCCTAGAAAATTCATTGTTCTATAGAATTTCAGTTGTCTGCCTATGCAAACTTTTGAACATTTGTCTTTAGGAAATACTGGGTAGCAATCTTAATACTTATGGTTTTCCTTTATTTCCAGTTAATAAAATCAATAAAACTGTACATAGGCACTTTCTTACTGTATACCTAACTAAATTTGTTTCCTGTGTGTTGTCTGGAATCTTGCTTTATGTATATGCAAAGTACAAGTATCTTTCAAACTATTAGTTTGTATTCAGTTACTCACTACCCAATAATTAATCTGCCTTAAATCATTGATGTTATTTGTTGATGAGAGAACAAGTACTTTTTTTCCAATTGTCATAGAAGTAATGCTGTAGTATACTCATTTTTCACCATATTTCAATATTCGACAGTTTGTCCAAAAAGAAAAGATTAATAGAAAAGAATATCCATCCATTCCCCTTCTCTGGAAAACTTTGCTTCTATATAATCATGTAGTTCAAATTATCTATAAAAGTATTTTTCTCTAGGGTGAAGATGAAATAGTTGTTTCTATTACATGTAAAAGGTAGATGATTAACTTTGGGAATGGGCAAAAGAAAAGTTGGCAGAGTAGAAGTAGTTGGTCTCACTGATTCCTGTCTACCCCGGGCCATCCAACTTATAATTCCATGTATTGACTGTTTTCTCAGATTTATTCACAGTACCATTATTAAAAATCAAAGAGACATGATAATACATGGTAAATACTTCATCTGTGAAGCATGTTAGAATTAAAGAGAGTAGGGGCACCTGGGTGGCTCAGTCGGTTAAGCGTACGACTTCAGCTCAGGTCATGATCTCACAGTTCGTGGGTTCAAGCCCCATGTCGGGCTCTGTGCTGACAGCTCAGATCCTGGAGCCTGCTTCGGATTCTATGTCTGCCTCTGTCTCTGCCCTCCCCCCACTCGTGCTCTGTCTCTCTTTCTCTCTCAAAAATAAACATCAAAAAAAATGAAAAAAAAAAAAAACTTAAGAGAGTAAAAGAAAAGAACCTCGAACATACATTGTTTAATATATAATGGATGAAAAAGAGAGCCATTCAAAAAGAAGAAAAGAATTTAAGAGATATTTTTATTTTTTTATTTTATTTTATTTTTTAACGTTTATTTGTTTTTGAGACCGAGAGAGACAGAGCATGAATGGGGGAGGGTCAGAGAGAGGGAGACACAGAATCCGAAGCAGGCTCCAGGCTCTGAGCTGTCAGCACAGAGCCCAACGTGGGGCTCGAACTCACGGGCTGTGAGATCATGACCTGAGTCGAAGTCGGCCACTTAACCGACTGAGCCACCCAGGCGCCCCTAAGAGATATTTTTAAATAAAGAGGATAAATATATCGTTGGAACAGAATTGTCTCATCTTAATTTTTAGACTGGTTGGAACTTCCTTAGCTGATAGTAATAATTCTAGCTCTCAGAAAAAATTATATACGTAAATGTTTGTGCAATTTTGTTGACAGAGGAACTGACTTCTTATGTTATGGTTTTATAAACTTGTAGAAGTGTGTGTCAGTTAAAAAGTAAGCATTTCCAAACTCAACACGCCCAAAACAAATAATCTAGTGAAAAAATGGGGCGAATAAACAGTTTTCCAAAGAAGACATCCAGATGGCAAACAGATACCTGAAAAGATGCTTAAAAGCACTCATCATCAGGGAAATACAAATCAAAACCACAATGAGATACAACCTCACACCAGTCAGAATGGCTAAAATTAACAAAACAAGAAAGAAGTATTGGCAAGTATAGGGAGAAAGGGGAACCTGTTGCACTGTTGGTGGGAATGCAAACTGGTGTAGCCACTCTGGAAAACAGTGTGGAGGTTCCTCAAAAAAATTAAAAACAGAATTCCCCTACAACCCAGCAATTGCACTACTAGGAATTTATCCAAAGGATACAAAAATGCTGATTTGAAGGGGCACATACACCCCAATGTTTATAGTAGTGCTGTCAACAATAGCCAAAGCTTGCAAAGAGCCCTAAAGTACATCAACTGATGAATGGATTAAGAAGATGTGGTATGTATGTATGCATATATATATATACACACACACACACACACACACACACACATACACACACACACACACACACACACACACACACACACACACACACACACTGGAATGGAATGCTACTCAGGGATGAAAAAGAATGAAATGTTGCCATTTGCAACAACATGGATGAAACTGGAGGGTATTATGCTAGGCGAAATAAGTCAGTCAGAGAAAGACAGATATCACATGATTTCACTCATGTGGAATTTGAGAAAATTAAGAGATGATCATAGGGGAAGGGAAGGAAAAATATGATAAAAACAGAGGGAGGCAAACCATAAGAGACTCTTAAATACAGAGCACAAACTAAGGGTTGATGGGGGTGGGGCAGGTGGGATAAATGGGTGATGGGCATTGAGGAAGGCACTTGTTAGAATGAGCACTGGGTGTTATATGTAAGTGATGAATTGCTGGGTTCTACTCCTGAACCCAAGACTACACTGTAGGTTAACTAACTTCAGAATAAAAAATTAAAAAAAAATTAAAAGTAAGCATTAAAAAAATGAAGAATGAAGTGATAGAAGAAGTACATTTACTGTTTTTTTTAGGTACTGCAAAAATTCAAGGTGAAAGAATTTCCCAGACTCACCAGGATAAGAGTAGTTCCTTAAAAGACACCGAGGAGAGTTTTGGAACAAGCTTTAAAGATTTTCCAGCTGCCCTAAAGGTAAAATAACACTATACACATACAGGCTTGCTCTCTCTCTCTCTCTCTCTCTCTCTCTCTCTCTCTCTCTCTCACACACACACACACACACACACACACACACACACACACACACCCTCCTCCACATATATAGGTAGATATTTATATTATATATACATATAAATAAGTATATATATACATATTTTCACAATGCATTTTGCTTACTTATTATAATTCTAGCTCTTATAAATAAATAACTCCTCAGATTTAATTTTATTATGCTTTGAGTAAATGAGAACTATTCCAGGATAGAATGGTTGAAAGAACATGAGTTGTCTTAATGACAATATCAATATTCAGTGGTTTCTCTTTAGCACTATAGTTCATTATTCCATGCCACTTCCTTTATGTAATAGATCAGTTATCACTAAATTATAAATATATATTAGAGAATGTCTAACCAGTATATTTCCCTTGTGAAATAGGTGGCAGTTAGTGGTTACTTGGTTTGAATTTGAGATTAAAGAAACAAGTGTTATGGTCTGTTCTGTTGTATTTGCACAGAAAAACATTCTTTCATTTAGCATCATAGAAGTTTTGTACATACAGGAGTTTGTAATTTTACCTTTTCAAGATTTGAAATTATTTCCTTCTCAATCATTTTCATTTTCCTCCTTAAACGAAAGCCTGAAATGTTTTTAATTGATTTATCTTACCTTTTAACTCTATTCCCTCCCATGCAGGCACATTCTTGTGTTTTTCTGACATTGTTCATGATTTTTAATCCCAACAACGATCTTCTTTTGTAATAGTTATGTTCTATGTCATATATTTCTATTTATTTTATAAATTGTTATGTATATTACCATTTTTATGTATATTACTGCTTTTTTTTTTATTCTTATGGTTTCATGCTTTGAGGTCTCAATTCTGATTCAGATCCCTCTGGATTCAGTATTTTATTGCTAGTTTTCCTCAGACAGAGTAGCATCTAAGTATCCTTGAATACTGAATGATATTTCTGACTAAATGGACCTTTTCTGATCATACTCTTTTAGTCCCAGAATTCTGTGGATGTTATCTTACTCTTTTCTAGTTAAATGTGTTGTGGTTGAGAAGTTCCATCCAAGTTAGTATGATTCATTTTTATTTCCAGCTATCTTTGATTTCAGGCAATATATTAGGTTATGCCTAAGTATGTGTTTTTTTTTTTTCCCATTAATTCTTGCTAGAAATCCATTATCTTTTTAAACCTGAAGATTTAAATGTTTTCTGCCATTATTATTTTTAAAAATTATTGAATGTTTTCATTCAGGTACTTTTCTCTTTTTTGTCACTACTATTATTCTTAAGTTAGATCATCTGGATCTGACTTCTAACTCTCTTGCATTGCCTCTTCATGACTTCTGTGAGTGGTTGTGAGTGTGTGTATTTTGCTTGATTTAATTAAATTTTTTTTTCACTTAATATTCCAGAAGTGTAATTTGGTTTTCACTTTGTGGGCAGATATATTAGATTAATTAATCTCTGTACTCTCCTCTGATAGTTTAAGATTCTGAGAAGTCCAGCAGTGTACCCACCTATTTAAAATTGCTGAACTCTATAACTATCTAAGTTTCTTAACTAGTGAGTCCTTTACTCATAGAACAATACAAATTTGATACTAAGAGACCATTCTCATCTGTGTTTATAACCAAGTTCTTCATTTAGTAGACATGGGAATTCAAAACATCAGACAAGGGGTAGATTTAATGTATGGAAGTTTATCATATACTGGAGAAAACCTTTCCAACCTGGCTTTTACCTCCTTTACCCCATCCTTTGCATATGATAAAGGCACAGTCACCCTACTGTTGAATCAATCACCTGTCAATTCTCTAGGTGCTCCACATATAAATTTTCTCAATGTTGTATATATCAAGCTATTAATATTTCATTTTTATGCTGGAGGAAATGCTGAAATTTTATAGATAGTTATACTGTGTTTATTAAATATTTGCCATTTCATCATGCTGCCATTTTAATGTTACATTTTGCAGTATAATCATACTTATTCATTTGGTGAACTATATTTTTTCTTTAGAATTTGATGAGGAATACTGTCTTTATGTGTTTAGTTTTCTCAACTTCCTCAGAAGCCTTAATTACTACTGGATTTGCTACATTTTTACCTAAATTTATAGAAAATCAATTTGGATTGTCTTCCAGCTTTGCAGCTACCCTTGGAGGTAAACCATTTTTTTCTTTGTTCAGATTTAATCTAATAATTTTACTTTACTACATTAATTTTTTATTAGAATAATATATCATTTTGGATAGCCACTTCTTGAAATTTAAACTACTGATTTTGATAAAAGTTTCAGATTTTCTGTTAATAGACAGTCTGTTGTATGAACACGAAATACAGAGGCTGCATAGCTAAAGAGAATATTTGTTGATCTTAATATTCAAAACTTTATAAATCACATGATAGCATTCATATGTTAAAATAGTACTGGTGCTTGTTTTTGATGTTTCCCAATTTGTCATGTAAGTAACTGACTACACCTGTATGTTTTCTCACTCTCTGTGTCTTCTTTCTCATCAGGGGCTGTTTTAATTCCTGGAGCTGCTCTTGGTCAGATTTTAGGTGGTGTACTTGTTTCAAAACTCAAAATGACATGTAAAAACACAATGAAGTTTGCTTTGCTCACATCTTTATTTGCGCTTGTGCTGAGTTTTGTATTTGTTTATGCCAACTGTGAAAACGAGCCTTTTGCCGGTGTGTCTGAATCATATAATGGGTAAATATATTTCAGTACTTTTTGATATTGATATGAGAGTAAAAGCTGTGTGTGTATTTTCAAGTATATGCTTTCTTGAATAAAATAATGAAAAATTGGCTTTTTCGTATATAAGAAGATGTAAGGTTTTTTTTTTTTTCTTGTTTTGCTGGTTTAAATAATTTGGCATCTTATTAAATGTTGGGTGTTTATCTGGAGAGCAGTTAAAGAGTACTCAACTATTCTATCCTGGGCAATGTATCCTGAACTATGTTCAGGGATACAAAGATTAAAGTAACAGAATCTTTGCCCTGAAAGGATTCACATCCTATGGAGAATTTCATATGTTGCTATTGATTTAAATCTTTAAAAATGGAGATGCCTCTATGGTGACATTAGTGTATTAGGGGGGTTGAAAATAGTCTGCAGATAAATTAAAATGAAGCTAGTCCTAGGTTATACTAATGATTATTGTTTCCACTTTAGAAGTTCATGGTTATTGTAAAGAAATAAATGACTCCTTGTTATGACCTGTAAACATGTTTCCACCTGTAACTGGTATGACCATTTTATCTTTGTATGTTTACTTTTGCCTTGTATGTTTAGTTTTGAAATCCTAAGGCATGAATTAGCGGATCAGGCAGGAGGATGTTGCATAGTGGTGCATTCATAGCCTGCAGTGTTGCTTTAATTGTTTCACTGAATGTGTTTGAGGCTGGTAAGAGAGATGGTACTCTAGGTCAAGGACTCCACAGTTCTGTAGAGTATGGCATTCCAATAACCTAAATAGAATGTACTTTGTTGGATGAGTTTGCCAGTAACGATTGTGATTTGCAGTTGCTGTCATTCTTTTACATTAATGAGATGCTGAGCATTCTAAAGCAATGTTAAGTTCACCTCTATTACATTTATTCAACATTTTTTTACTACATCATCTGGCTGAAAAATCCCTGCTGTAAAGGAGTTTGCAATGTGGCAGGAGTGATTGGGAAAAAAACGGTAAATGAACAATGTATTAGGTAATGAGAGACACACAAAGGGCTATGAAATTCAAAAGAAGGAGAGCTTTTCAGTATCCTTTGATTAGATTCAGAAAAAGTTTCATGGTATAACAGAGAAATTGGTTTACATATTTTTTAAGGGTACAAAAAAAGCTATGAGAGTTAAAAATTTGAGAAGAGAGAAAGGCAGAGGGAGTATATTAGGCATAAATGCCTAGTAAAGGCTGGTAGGTTCAGGAACCAGTTCCAATGGGACTTAGGTCATGTTCCTAAATGAAAAAATATCTGGAAATGTTGAAAGGTAGGTACAGGTAAGTACTGCAGACCTGACTTTACACCTATAAACTTTACCCAAACGTATCCTGAGAAACCACTTGTTTTTTGTATATTCCTTTTAGAACAGAAAGTTCTGGATAGTTTACCACTAGTTTAATTACCTTGAAAGATGAATGATGTGGATGTGAATCTATTTGCTATTTTCTACCTTAAACAAGAGTTCCTACCAGATAAGCTGTCCTTTGCCTAATCGGAAGGGAAGACAAGAGAGAAGGTGTCAGTTTGAGTTGTGTGTATTTATTTAGATATAAATGGAGATGGAGATAGGGTTTAATGTTGCAGAATAGGTGAGACGTCAATTTTTTTTTCCTCTGTGGCCTCAAATTCTTTTTTTTTTTAAGTTCATTTATTTATTTTGAGAGAGAGTGTGCACCCATGTGCTTGAGTGGGGAAGGGGCAGAGAGAGAGGGAGAGAGAGAATCCCAAACAAGCTCCACACTGTCAGTGCAGAGCCTGACACGGGGCTCCAACGCGGGAACTGTGAAGTCATTATCTGAGCAGAAATCAAGAGTTAGACGCTTAACTGAGCCACTCAGGTGCCCCTCAAATTCTTCATGTTAGCTCTGTACACTGCATATTAAAATGTCCATACCGTAGATAGTTTACTCACTATAGCCTCATCCAACAAACACATATATTAAAAAAAAAAAGTAGTATATGGAAAGAGAAACAGACTAAGAAGCACAAAACATACCTTGTTAGTTATGAGGAAAAAGAAGTTATGGTTGTTAAACACAGCTTTGCAACTATGAATTAATGAATTAGGCTTATTGATAGGTTCATTTAAAATCCTGTTAAATAGTATATATTAAAAACTTAAGATTGGGGTACCTCGGTGGTTCAGTCAGTTATGCATCTGACTTCAGCTCAGTTCATGATCTCACCGTTTGTGGGTTCAAGCCCTGCATTAGGGTTTTGCACTGACAGCCCAGAACCTGAAGCCTGCTTTGGATTCTGTGTCTCCCTCTCTCTGCCCCTCCCCCACTTGTGCATGCGCACATGCTTTCTCTCTCTCAAAAATGAATGAAACTTTAAAAAAAACCCTTAAGATTAACAATACTAATCATTTCAGAGGGTATTTTTAATATTTGTAATATTTTACATTAATTTATTATTAAATGTTTAATGTGGACACAACAATTGAAAGCAGACTGTCATTTCTAGAAATATATTAGTTATTAAAGCTTCCTACTGTTCTCATATTGCCTTGACTCTGGGTTTGTTCTGGTAATCAGTGTTGATAATTGTGATTTGTGTTTTACTTTCTACTTAGAGCCTTGTGAAATATGAAATACTGTAGTTAGTACACACAGTATTTTTTCTCTATCTGGTCTATAGCGAGAATTGCTTTACTTATCTGAAACAGCACCTTAAAGATGCATACCTATTAAGATGTTATGATAGGTTTAGGGAATACTTTCCTTACAGTAGAGACATAATTATAGAATAGTTGGGATTCAAATAAGAAATTGACATTTAAATTCTATTATTTGTTATAAATGTGTTGCTCACATATATGGGTGTGTGTGTTTATACACGTGTATATTTTAAATATTCAGGAAAAAATTTTTTTTCAATGTTTATTTATTTTTGGGACAGAGAGAGACAGAGCATGAACGGGGGAGGGGCAGAGAGGGAGGGAGACACAGACTCGGAAACAGGCTCCAGGCTCTGAGCCATCAGCCCAGAGCCTGACACGGGGCTCGAACTCACGGACCGCGAGATCGTGACCTGGCTGAAGTCGGACGCTTAACCGACTGCGCCACCTAGGCGCCCCTAAATATTCAGGAAATTTAAAATATGTGTTTTAAAAACAATATGTATATATTAAGAGCATTTAAGAAACTTTTCAAGCATTGACTATTTTTTTAATAATAGTTTCCCCTTTACCTCATGAAATTAACCTTTATAAAATATATAGGCTTAAGTAGTTTATATACACTTAAGTAAAAGGAATATATGCTACATTTCTCTGTTTCTACTTAAGTTTGCATCATACTGTCATACACCTTCATGTTCTTAGTAATCACATATTGATAGTGTGAGAATTTTACGTTGGAAAAGTTAAGTTTAAAAATGTGTAGACACCATTTCTAGAATTGAAGGGGTAGTATTTCTGTAGTCACCTTACTTCTGTATCTATATTGTAAGCTAGTTGTAGGTAGACTATAATGCTTGTTTTTGTGGGTAAAATAGTGCTTGATAAAGAAATCTAGCAGCAGCCTATGGACTTGATTAGAGGAAGAGACTCCAGGCAGAGTAATGAATTATTTACAATTCACTCTTTGATCACCTTTTCTTCCAACTTCCACTGATTTGTTTCCAATTTGGTTTCTCTCCTTTACTCTTTCTTGACTCCTTATTCTCCACCTACCCCTTAAATATCATTTTCCAACATAGCAGTTATTCTCTTATAATCCTTAGATAAATCACTCATTTACTGCTTTTGACCTGCAGTGGAAAGCAAGGAAGTTAGCTTCATGGTGATGAGGAGGGATTTTATTATCTTTTTCTTTCTGCCCTGCCTGCCTGCCTTCTTTTTCCATTTCCTTCTTTCCTCCCTCCCTTTTTCTATTTATTTCTTTTAGATATGTTTCCATCACTTTGAGTAGAGTCTAGCACAATATTGGAGCTTACTATGTATTCATGAAATAAATGGACACTTGAGACCTCTACTCTCTTGCTCTATGCTCCTTATATGGCTAATCTTATCATTATCATGGTTTCAGCCACATTTATATGCAAACGATATTAGATATCTAGCTCCAGGCCATATTTCTTCACCAAATTCTGATACTCTTAAACCTCAGTATGTATAAAACCTCATTCATCATGTCCTCCCCAAACTAATTCTCTTTTTCTACCAAAACACCAAGTTAGACAGTATGTGGTATGGGTGTGTGTGTTTATACATGTGTATATTTTAAATATTCAGGAAATTTAAAATGTGTTATGTATTTTAAAAACAATATGTATATATTAAGAGCATTTAATAAACTTTTCAAGCATTGACTATTTTTCTAATAATAGTTTCTTGACTCTTTTGTCCTATACCCATCTTCAAACACCAAATCTTACCCCCAATATTTTAGATGATTCTACATCCAGAATCAGCCAAAATATTTCCCAAATCTGTCTCCTTTAATCAAATGTTCTATTTTGGTTCTCCTATATATTGTCGATTGTCATAAATTACTGTTTGGCATATTATAACTGGTCTCCTTCCTTCACATTTATACTCTGCATCACTCCTAGCATTATTTCTCTAAGATGTGCTTTTGACAGTGTCACTTTCCAGTGTAAAAATACTTTGATTACCTTTTCAAAAATAGGTTAAAACCCATTGTTTTTTTAACAGGTCGATAAGGCCTTCATTTATCTGGTCTCTTCAACTATGTTTCTGATCACTCACTGCCTCAGACATCATTCATATTTGTCCATATAGGAAGCTATATCTCACCTTTATGCTTTTGTACCAGCTTTTCTGAAGTGCCCTTCACATTCCCCATGTATCCAGCTAACTCTTACTCATCCTTTAAGACTTTCTCAGGTAGTAGCTCCTAAAGACTCTCACCTAAACTTCAGCTTGTCCTTCAGTGCTTCTAAAGTACACTTTGCAAATACCTGTAACCATGTTCACCATATTAGTGTATAATTTTCTGTGTCTATCTCTACTCCTAGACTGTGAAATCTTTGAGGACAGCAACTACTTTACTCAGCTGTATTCCTGATACCTAGCATAAGGCCTAGCATTTGCTCAATGTTTATTGGTTGAATGGATGAACAGGGATTGGAGAAGTATCTTTGGTTAGGGTAACCCTAACAATAACATAACGATGTTATCAAAGATATTGCATCCTATTAAAAGGCAGCATGGAGTAAAACTGAGCCTGGGAACCAGGAATATTTGGTGAAGATAGAAAGCTTAATCTCTCTGGGCCCTAGTTTTCCCACTGATAAAATGAGTATGAGTATTTTGAAAACCATTATTTTATTCATCCTTGTAGATGTAAAATTTTCCACACTCTAGGGAAATTTAGCAATGTCTGGAGACATTTTGGTTATCATAACTGAGGGATACTACTGGCATCTAATGGGTAGAGGCCACGGATGCTGCTAGGCATCCTATAATCCACAAAAGCAGCACTCTCTCCCTGCTACCCCTTCAAAGAATAATGTAGTACCTAATGAGAAACCCTGCTTTATTTGCTTACTCTGCCTGTTTTTCTTATCACTGAGACACATTGTATTATATAAGTATTGTTTATGCTGACTCTCTCTCCCACAAGAAATTAAATTTTGTGTGAAAAGGCAGACATTTGATTTGTTTTATTCATTCAGTAATTAAGTATGTGTTGAGTGAGTAAATAAATGACTGAAGGGCAAGATCTAACAATGCTTCTGAAGTGTTCATTAAAAGTTACAATATAGATAATTTGCCTCATTTCATTTCTTGATGACAGGACAGGAGAACTGGGAAACTTGACTGCTCCTTGTAATGCCGATTGTAACTGCTTTCAATCATATTATTATCCTGTCTGTGGAGGAGATGGGGTCCAGTATTTCTCTCCCTGCTTTGCAGGTTGTAAAAATTCTCTTTTAAAAAGACAGCCAAAGGTAACTTGGGTCTTCTGCTTTACCTTAATGAGGTAGTGTGTTTGTACATTTATGGATGACCTTCTTTGTCCTTCTAGTGGAGTTATGTAGTACCTGTCTGTTCTTCCCTTGCTGGCCCACCTCCTTCATTCAGAAGCCAGCATAAAGTTTCAGTCAAAGTTAGATGGATAAACTTTAGCAATCTGCTATACAACATTGTATGTATTGTCAACAATAATGTATTACACACTTTAAATTTGTTAAGAGGGTAGAGCTCATGCACAGTGTTCTTAATTGTGTGTGTGTGTATGCATATATACATTTTTTTGTTTTTTAAAGACCCTAAGCACTCCTGCTGGAAAAGACTCTTCTTCCTTTATATTTCAGATGCATTAAATGTTGAAAAATAAATTTGGCAGTTAATCACCTACATCTTGTTACATCACTTCTATTATAGTAATGAAATATTATTTACCTTTTTACATTGTGTTATTTTCTCAACCATGCTTTATGCCCCTAGAAGTCAGGGAACTTCTTTTCTTACTAATTACAGTGTATATATTAGAAACATAATAAATATTTATTATTCTTATTTGATGCACCACAGATTCATTTTAAAATGCCCCAAATCATTAATTCTCAAATACAAATTTACTTTTAATTCTAGGTTAGAACGCATATTAGTTTACCTAGATATGATTTTTTTAAACAGCTAAATAGTTTAAGAATATCCAATAGAATTTTATTGTACTATGTCTATAATCTAAAGATTTCATCTTAGCTAAATTTAAGAGTTTGGGGGAAAATAGCATTCAGATTATTAGTAGTACATAATATGTTATGGATTAATACGTAATGTGATAACTTTAAAAAGATCTGAGAGAAATATATACTGTGAAATAAGAGACCACAATGAGTAAGATACATAACAATTATGACAAAACAGTACAATCTTGAATATTTGAAATGTAGACTAGTGGAATGGCATTTCTTTTACCATATAAAGATAAGTTTAAGATTGTAAGAAAAGATTTATACATAAATAAGTAGAAAAAGCTAATTGAAAGAATCTATAAAATTACTTCAGATTTCTTCTAAAGCCAACTTGGATATGTTTGTGTGTATATGTGTGTGGTTGTATGCATTTATATGTTCATAAACACATAAATATATGTGTGCATATACATATACACATATCTTTAATGATTTTGTGTGTAATAAATACATTAGAAATTTATCTGAACATACTAGGATTTGATCTTCCTGCAGGGTGTGTGAGAATATGAGGAACAATGTACATTTTTTTCCACATTACCTAGCTTATAGATTTTAAAACTATCATCTAAGAACATTGAAAAATGTGTCAAAAAAATATCTGTGGTGAATCATAGTAGACCTAACAGACTGGGGTACCATATGTGCAATTTTAATCCATGGGATAAAACTAGATCATTACCATAAAGTACCTATGGAAAATAAATGGCCTCCAGAAGATTTTTAAGATCTCAGGTCTCAGGGTTATCATGCCTTCAAACTAGTTAGACATCTGGGCTTCCTTTAGTTTTAAAACAGATTGAGAAGATTAGATGTTTGTGTTACTTATAAGGGATCAAATTCCACAAATGAGCATGATGCATGTTACAGAATCAGAAGTATCGAATGATAGGTAACTATTACTTTCAGAGGTAGGTATGTAGGTAACATTTTCTTGTGTATAAAATATGATTGCTAAGGGCTATTGAATAACTCTAATCAGTAGATTACAACAAAAAGATATTTGTAGATTTTTACTCCCATAACTAAAAATGTTAGACACAAATATTATCCTGCATAAGGAAACCAAAAAAAGAAAAAAAAAAACTTTAATACCCAGAACATACTTGAAGTGGTATTGGTTATTTTGATATGATTAATTTGATATTTATATTTTTCCCCAAGTACTATAATTTCCATCTTAAATAGCAAATCGTCTTCTAGTGATTGTTTAGGAAAAGCAAGTTATTTTGACTTACAAATTTTCTATTTGTTCTGGCTTTTCATGTCTATCTGGTCCATGTCACAACTCATTTTTTCACAGGATTTTTTTCTTATGGAATATTTCAGAGAGGCAAAATGCATTGATAATAATACAGTAAATACCTATGCACATTTGTTCACAGAAATATTAGTCTTATATTTTTACACTGACCCAAACAACAAAGCAAATGTTGAGTAAGAGCTAGTATATTGCAGGTAAAATTGTATACTTTTTTATTTAAGAGAGGTATATAGTTTCATCAAGATATAAAATACTTTTCTCTTAAAATTTTAAAGGCTACATTTCTTCGTTATTTGATATATCCAGGTGCTGAGTATGTAATATTCCATTTTGGGAGTGTCATCTGCATATTTGGATATCCTGTGTCAGTACCACTGGCCTTAGATTAGCTTTAGCACTGAAAAAAGGTCTCTGGCCTTTAGAATAAAAAAAGTACTATTTCCCTTTGACTTCTATGGCTCTGTTATGACTTTATTGAGGCCTTAAACTTGTAAAAAGAGTTATAGTAAGAATGCAATTGAGCTGTAAAAAAACATTTAAAAAGTAATTACGCCTAACAAACTTCTTAAACTCTGAATTTTTTTTCCTAATGTTTATTTATTGTTGAGAGAGAGAGAGAGACAGAGTGAGGATGGGGGAGGGGAAGAGAGAAAGAAGGAGACATAGAATTTGAAGCAGGTTCCAGGCTCAGAGCTGCCAGCACAGACCCCAATGCGGGGCTTGAACTTGGGAATGGCAAGATCATGACTTAGGCCGAAGTCGGAAGCTTAACCAATTGAGCCATCCAGGCACCCCTAAACTCTGAATTTCTTTCCTACAAAAGTAATAATTGTAATCTTTTAACATGTTACCTTCCAACAGTTCATATTATTAATTTATATGTAAGTATATATTAAATAGTTAATCTTATATATTTATATATAAAATAGCCTTTAGGATAATGAAGCAATAACTTCTAGCTTATCATTGTCATAAATATGTCATCTTAGAAGGGATAGAACTTGCTTTTAGTAAAGAAATTACAGAAAGTTCAGAAGATGATAGTAAAGTTGTTTACTTGAAAGCAACATATTTTTTTCCTAGAGACTTGTGATATATTAGTTAATTTTGCGGTGACATTTGTTAAAATTATAGTGTTTGTCCTTTCTTTTTTTTTTTTTTTAATTTTTTTTTCAACGTTTATTTATTTTTGGGACAGAGAGAGACAGAGCATGAACGGGGGAGGGGCAGAGAGAGAGGGAGACATAGAATCGGAAACAGGCTCCAGGCTCTGAGCCATCAGCCCAGAGCCTGACGCGGGGCTCGAACTCACGGACCGCGAGATCGTGACCTGGCTGAAGTCGGACGCTTAACCGACTGCGCCACCCAGGCGCCCCGTGTTTGTCCTTTCAAACTATCTTAGTGTGCTTCTTTACCTTCTATAATGGAAAAGAAAGCAAGAAAATAATTTGAACAAATACGATTTATTGAAAGTAGTCTGGAAGGTGAGGTCAGATAATTGGTATATTCTTGTCCATTTATTTTATAAGTTATGAGTCAGTAATAGCTTACAAGTTGAAGCAGTGAACACTACTCAAATACAGATGATTCTACTTCATAAATGTTGTCCTTTATTTTCACTTACTTAATCTCTTAAAAGTTAATTACTCTTTTGTAGCATTATTTGTTGTTCAAAGATTAAGATTGTGTAAAATGATTGCCATGTCTGTAAATCACCTAACTTACAATGATAAAATATGTTTTCAAGATAAGCACGTGCAATATCATCATGTCTAATATTTGTAGGAATATTACAATTGTTCCTGTATTGCAAGGAATACAGAAATAACTCCTACTTCGGCAAGTTTTATTTCTGAAGTTAAAGCTGGAAAATGTGAAAGTCGATGTGCAAATTTGCCCATATTCCTTGGCATTTTCTTTGCTACAATTATCTTTACATTTATGGCTGGTACTCCTATAACTGTGTCCATCCTAAGGTATGTATTATATTGTGAAATTTGCCATCCCTAAGACAATTTGAGTGTAAAGAAAATAGACTCAGGTTCATTTGGTTCATATATTGACCACTGGTTCTAAAACTAATTCAGTTCTTATAACATTGTTACTTCTATGACATTGGAAAAGCTACTTCATTGAACCCCAGATATATGAGGTTTAAATGTGATCATGTATGTGAAAGTGTCTTAATATTGCCTATCTGGAATATACTTGACTTTAGCTTCTCTGACTCTTTCATCAGGCTTCAGTTTAAGCTATTCAACCGTGTTTGAGTATGATGGAAATATAGAGTATTCCGCATATGTCAGAATCAGAATGACCTGAATTCTACCTCATTATAGTAGGTGCAGTGATATTCAACCTTCTCTAAACAATGCTCTACTAGATGAGAAGCTAGATGCCACATGGCTCTTGGCAGTGTTTTGAGCTTTCAATTTGCTCTTTTTCCTTCACAACACTTGATAAAAATACTTATCAATTTTTTTTTGATAAAAAAATCTGCCCTTTCATAAGTTCATCAGTCTTTCTATGTCTTTCCTAACAACCTCTAGCTTTTTTACTCTTCAGTTTTTGTTCCCTGATACTCATTACGTTTTCACATACTTTTTGTCCAATGGAAATTTTGGAGATTCTGTCTGCAAATATTAAATAGTCTGATAACATTATCCTATGTGGAAATTGGAGTTAGAGAACTGAGAAAACGATTTTTTAAAACTTCATTTTTGGGACATTATCTATAAAACTTTTCAACTACATGTTTGTTTTTAAAAACTAGTTGATCTCTTTTATCTCCTGTCTAACTCTTGTGTGCCAGTATCGTGTCTCATTTCATGTTTGATAGTCATTACTTAAAGAATCATTGTTGAATCAGATTGAGCCTCAACAACTGTTTTACAAAACCTGAATTAGTACTTTATCCCCTATGTATGGTTTCTGTCTCAAAACTTAGTAAGAATTAGAGTAATATTTATTTGTTTGTGACTTAAGTCATGTGACTTGTGACTTAAGGGTTAGTAAAAAACAAGTCTTATTAATGCATGTGCTTTCTTTTTTACATTTGTTTCAATTCATACATATTCGATATATTTGTCAAACTTTGATTCTTTTTGGTGTTTTGTAGTGTTTTAGTTCATGTAACATTTTTCTTCTTTTATAACTCCAGAAAGGTTCAACTCTGTATAAGCTGTTACAAATAGTTTGTTTATTTCATGCACATAACATTTACTTAATCTAGAAATGCTAAACTGGTAGAAAAATAAATTGGCTTTAAGAGCAAATATACTATATGACCACTTTTAGTTAATGTATACATATTTGATATCTTTAGGTGTGTTAATCAGAGGCAACGGTCCCTAGCATTGGGAATACAGTTTATGCTGCTTCGATTAGTTGGTATGCCATTTTTCTTAATTCATTGGTGACTGTTGGTTATTTTTGTTGATTAGCATTATTGATTAATTCACTTAAGGGATATGCCAAGAAAATAATTTAAATGCCATAGAAAACTATGTAATTGTCATTGAAGAAAGTTGTTTTCTAATATTTGAGATGTAGTATTGTTTACAGATCACATAAGAAAATAATGACTTTACTCTTTAACCTACCTGATTGGTTAACTGTCATTTCCAATTCTGTTACAAATACAACTTTAAAGAGTGTATCATATTTATTATAAATATAACATAGGATCATCCACACATTTTTAATTGAGCACAGTAAAATACATACATTTTTCCTACTCATGTAAAAACTATTATCAACATAAATTATGATAGAATCATATTTATAACTATTGCAATTCCTTTTCTCCCAGCATTGATCTCCATTTGGGGCATAATTATATCGTATTAGCAATGAAAAATAATGAGTTAACAAATTTCAATTAAAATTTGGCATACATATCGTGGCTAGTTAAGAATTGATGGAAGAAAGGTTTTGTAGAAAATTTCATAAGTTTCCAGATGTAGGAAGAAACAGAAGGACAGAAATACTGTATTATACACATAATTATATGTGTGTATGATTATTCCCACAATATTATACCCATAATATAAAGATCATTTATAAAACTAAAAACCAAAAGTTAGGAGCATTAGAAATCCTGTGAACCAACTTTCCCATCTTCAGGTGAATAAATTAAGGTTCTGGGAGATTCAGGGATTTGCCCAGGGTTACACAATTTGTGGTGAAAATGAGAATAGGAAAATGATAACTTTATTCTCAATCCAGTGCTATTTTGACTCTGTCAGTCTTCAGGTCATGAAAAAACAGACTGGATGTAACTGAAATCTTTGTCTAAGAAATACCACTTCATGTATTTGATTTGCAACAGTTGGAAACTTCCTAAAGATGTGGCAGCTTAGAGCCTCGTGACTTCATGCGAGGGAGGGGATGTTTTTGAGATAGTATTCCTAAGCATGTTAGTATGAATGTATATGTATGTGCATGTGTGTGCATACACATGTGCACTCTTCATGCATGCACATGCACATAACACATATACTGTAGTTTAGCACTTGTGCATCAATAATTTTGATTTTTTAAAATTAAAATAGCTAATTTCAAACATATTCATTAAATTAGGAAAGCAATGAATTAAAATATTTACTTAGCTAAATGTTAGCCTAATGCATGCCAGATATTCTTATTAAAATGAATTTTTGAATTGATTAGAAGTATATAATAATTATATAATTATTTTAGAATGTTTTATCTGTTTCTTTAGACCCCTATTACTTGTACATGAACTGATTGATTTATATATGTCCAGATTAATTCCTAGTCTTATTTATATAAAATATATGTATAACCATGTATATAAAAATCTATAACTGTAGGCTATAATCTTTACTGATGTGTATTTCACATATAATTCTTCTAGGCACAATACCTGGACCAATTATATTTGGTATCACAATAGACAGCACATGTATTCTGTGGGATATTAATGAATGTGGAACTAGAGGTGCTTGCTGGATTTATGATAACATCAAGATGGCCTACATGCTAGTAGCCATAAGTAAGTGGTGATTTCTTGAAAACTTTAGATTAAATTGGTAATGTCAAAAGAAAAAAAAATCTTATTGTTACTTAAGTTTTATAATGTTTACTAGTTCATGCTACTGGGGTATCCTATAGAGATCAGTTAACACAGCATGTGATGAAAGGTTTTAATGAGTCTGTTAGGCTCAGTCTCAGAAGAGAATAACATTTTACCTTTCATGAAATCACATGTAATTTTTTAAAACAACTTCTGTCAAAAATTTTTTTGAAAGTCTGACAAAAAGAAAAAAGACAATTCTGAAAAACTCTCTGGAATGATTGTCATCTAGATACCTGCTCTTTGGAAAGTACTTAGAGCTGAGGTAGGGAAGTATCTTTTGGCTCGGAGGCATGTTTTAAGAAATGTTTTTATAGTTTAAAAGGTTAGCTATGATGTTTAACCCTTTTTGCCTTTGGTAGCCCATCATGGATAGTCTTGGTTAAGCAATAAATGACATTTAAGATTGCAAAAGATTGATTATGCCAATGCATGTGTTTTGCAAGAGTTAAAATTTAAAAATTTAAAAACAACCTAAAATATTAAAATATTTAAATTAAAAATAGAGGTAGAGGTTTCAAGATGGTGGCATAGGAAGACCCTGAACTCATCTCCTCCCATGGACACAATAAATTTACAGCTACATATAGAATAATTTTTTAAAAAGGATCTTAGCATTCGACACAGCACCCCATAACAAAAGACAAAAGAGATGCATTAAGTAGGGTAGGAAAGGCAGAGACATGGCCTTGCTGAGGATCTCACCCCAGACACAGTAACTCCACAATTGGGAGGGATCCCCAAAATAAAGAGCAGTTCCTCAACTAGTGAATGGATTGTGCTGCACAATAGGCACCCTGACCCTGAGGACTGGCACTGGAAAGACAAGATCTCAAAACATCTGGTTGTGAAAATAAACAGAGATTAAGATCAAGAGAATCACAGAACTATAGGGAACAGAAATCCCACTCTTAAAGGGCTTATGTGCACACCCATTCATCCTGAGATCCAGCACAAAAGCAACAGATTGAAAAACACCCAGACTATAAGCACAGAAGACCCACTTACTAAATTTAAGGTGGCTGCTAGAGAGGCAGGAACCTGCGGTGACATTATCCAGGGACAGAAGCCCTGGTAGTTGCCATTTTTGTAATTTCATCCCAACTTGGTGGTGACAGTCTTTGAATGTCATTTTCTGTGCCCTCCCTCTCGTCTACTAGCACCAGAGGTCATGTTTGTGCACCCTGCACTGTAACCAGGCTGAGAAAATTCCCAGTACTTTACTCACCCACTGTAGAGATCTAGCCACAACTAGAAAGATAAACTTCCTGAGCGTCACCCTCCCAATGTAGCAGACAAGCTCCAACTGGATCAGGCAAACACCTTAACCACTGCCCTATCCATATGGCTGCCAAGCCAAAACTGGATTGGCCAAGCACCTGGAGCCCTACCTACCCCATAAAGCAGCTGCGTCCCTATTGTAGCCAGCTAGCACTTAGTGCCCACAAAAGGATATCCATTGGGGGCCTGTGTCTGTAGCCAGGGGAGATTGTGTTTTGGGGCCACATGAAACAGCTCTTACACAAGCCCACGACTTCAAGACTGAAAAAGGTAGTCATTGTACCTAAAACATATAGACTAATAACAGAGAGATAAGAAAAATGAGAAGACAGAGGAATATATTCCAAACCAAAGAACAAAGCAACTCTCAGAAAAAAAGACTTTAGGGAAATAGAGATAAGCAGCCTACTGATAAAGAGTTCAAAGCAATGATCATAAAGATGCTCACCAATTTTGGGAAAAGAATGGATGAATAGCGAGAACTTCAAGAAAAATGTAGAAAATATAAGAAGGTACAAGACATAACTGAACTAAAAAATAATCTAAGGGTTTCAGCAGCATAATGGACAAAATAATGGAATGAATCAGTGATCTGGAAGACAGCAATGGAAAACACTCAGAGAAGCAAAATGAAAATAGAATTAAAAGAAGTGATACCTTAAGGGACCTCTGGAAGAACATTAAGTGGAGTAACATTTGCATTTTAGGGGCCCCAGAAGGAGAAGAGGGGAGAAAAGGGTCAGAAAAATTATTTGAAGAAATAATGGCCGAAAACTTCCCTAATCTAGAAAAGGGAAGATTCATCAACATCTGGATCATCTGGATGTTCATCTGGATCATCAACATCCAGATATCCCAGAAAGTTCCAAATAAAATGAACCCAAAGAGACAGGCCAAGACAAATTATAATTAAAATGATAAAGGTTAAAGATAAAAGAGAATCTTAAAAGCAGCAAGGGAATGAAATATATTACCTATAAGGTAAACCCAATAAGCCTATCAGCAGGTTTTTCAGCAGAAACTGCACAGGATGGAAAGGAGTGGCATGACATATTCAAAGCCTTAAAGGAAAAAAAAAAAAAAAAACTGTCAAGCAAGAGTACTCTAGCCAGCAAGGTTATCATTTAGAATTAAAGGAGATATAAAGAGTTTTCCATGTAAGCAAAATCTAAAGGAAGTTCATCACCACTAACCCGGCCTTACAAGAAATATTAAAGGCACTTCTCTTAAGCTAAAAAGAAAAGACACTAATTAATGAGAAAACATGAGAATAAAAATCTCACCAGTAAATGTAAATAAATAATAAAGATAGTAGATCAACCTCTAATAAAGTAAGTTTTAAGGGTAAAAGATAAAAATAGTAAAGTTCATTTAAAATGCATAATTAGTTAAGGAAACATGAAGTAAAAAGATGTAAAATGTGTTATCAAAAATCTAAAATGTGGAGAATGTGAGTATAAGTATAAAGTTTTGAAATGTGTTCAAAATTAAGTTACCATCAACTTGAAAGGGACTTATATACGTAAGATGTTATATGTGAAATTTATGGTTACCACACATGTAAAAAAATTTATAGTAAATGCACAAAGGAAAAGAAAAAGGAATCTAAACAAGTAAAAGAAAATAAGCCACAGGAGAAGAGAAAAAGAGAAGAAAAAAGGATCAGAAACAGATTACAAATATAGCCAGAAAGCAGTTAACAAAATGGCAGTAAGTACGTACCTATGAGTAATTGCCTTAAATGTAAATGAATTAAATTCTATAAGCAAAAGACATATAGTGGCTGAATGGATAAAAGACAAGACCCTTGTATATGCTACTATAAGCTCCCAGACTGAAAGTGAAGGGATAGAAAAGACATTCCATAAAAATAGAAAGAAAGCTGGAATAGCAATACTTACTTCAGACAAAATAGACTTTAAGTTTATTTATTTATTTATTTATTTATTTGGAGAGAGAGAGAGAGAGAGAGAGAGAGAGAGAGAGAGAGCAAGCATGAGAAGGGGAGGGGCAGAGAAAGAGAGAGAATCCAAAGTCTCTGTGCTCCATGCTGAGTCCAGAGTGGGGGTTAATCTCATGGACTGTGGGGTCATGACCTGAGCCAAAATCAAGAGTCAAGACACTTACCTGACTGAGCCACCCAGATGCCCCTCAGACAAAATAGATTTTAAAACAAAGACCGGAACAGGAGACAAAGGCATTACATAATGGTAAAGGTATCAATCCAATAGCATTTGTAAACATTTCTGTACCTAACATAGCAGTACCTGAATATGTAAAGCAAATATCACCAGTATTAATGGGAGAAATAGTAATACAATAATAGTAGGGGACTTTAATACCCCACTCACATTAGTGGATAGATCATCCAGATAGACAATCAATAATGTAAGTATGGCCTTAAATATATCAAATGAACCTAAAAGATATTTACAGAGCATTCCATGCCAAAACAGCAGAATACACATGCTTTTCAAGTGCACATGGGACATTCTCCAGAATAGATTACATGCAGGGTCACAAAACAAGTTGCAATAAATTTGAGAAGACTGAAATCATATCAGGTATGTTTTCTCGCCACAAAAGTATTACATTGGAAATCAGTTACAAGAAGAAAACTGGAAAGTTCACAAAATATGTCAATATTTATTTATTTATTTTTCTATTAAAATTTTTTTTTTAATGTTTATTTATTTTTAAGAGAGAGAGTGAGCTGGGGAGGGGCAGACAGAGAGGGACACACAATCTGAAACAGGCTCCAGGCTCTGAGCTGTCAGCACAGAGCCTGACATCAGGCTCGAACATGCAAACTGTAAGATCATGACCTGAACCAAAGTCAGATGCTTAACTGACTGAGCCACCCAGTCACTCCAAAATATGTGAAGATTTTAAAAAAATGCTACTAAACTGGTATAGCAAGTCTGAAAAACAGTATTTAGGTTCCTCAAAAAATTAAAAATAGAACTACTCTATGACCCAGCAATTGCACTACTAGGTATTTATCTAAGGGATACAGGTGTGCTGTTTTGAAGGGTCACATGCACCCCAATGTTTATAGCAATGCTATTGACAATAGCCAAAGTATGAAAAGAGCTCAAATGTCCATCGATGGATGAATGGATAAAGAAGATGTGGTATTACTTAGCAATCAAAAAGAATGAAATATTGCCACTTGGAACTATATGTATGGAATTAGAGAGTATTTTGCTAAGCGAAATTAGAGAAAGACACATACCATATGACTTCACTCATATGAGGAATTTAAGATACAAAACAGATGAACATAAGGGAAGTGAAGCAAAAATAATATAAAATCAGGGAGGGGGACAAAACATAGGAGACTCTTAAATATAGAAAACAAACAGAGGGCTGCTAGAGGGGTTGTGGGAGGGAAGGTGGGCTAAATGGGTAAGGGGCATTAAGGAATCTCCTGAAATCATTGTTGCACTATATGTTAATTAACTTGGATATAAATTTAAAAATAAATTAATTAAAATAAAAAAATAATAAAAATAATAAAAACATGCTACTGAACAACCAGTGGATCAAAGAAGAAATCAAAAGAGAAATTAAAAAAATACCTTGAGATAAATAAAAATGGAAACACAATGTTCTAGAATTTGGGGGATGCAGCAAATAACAGTTGTAAAAGGGAAGGAAGTTCATTGTTATACAGGCCTTCCTTAGGAAACAATAAAAATCTCGAACAATCTAAGTTTACATTTAAAGAAACTAGAAAAAGAAAACAAAGCCCAAAGTTCTTAGAAGGAAGGAAATAATAAAGACCAGGAGAAAAATAAGTGAAATAAGAGATAAATAAATAAACAAATAAATAAATAAAAATGATCAATGAAACGAAGAGTTGGTTATTTGAAAACATCAACAACAATCAACAAAAATCAACACTTTTAACTAAAGTCGTCAAGAAACAAAGAGAGCCCAAACAAATAAAACCAGAAATGATAGAAGAGAAATTACAGTGGACACCACAGAAATACAAAGGATCATAAGAGAATATTATGAACAATTATACACCATCAAATTAGATAACCTAGAAGAAATGAGTAAGTTCCTAGAAAAATAGTCTTCCAAGACTGAATCTTGAAGAAATAGAAAATCTGAATAAGACTAATTGCTAGTAATGAAATTGAATCAGTAATCAAAAAATACCCAACAGACAAAGGTCCAGGTCCAGATGGCTTCACAGGTGAATTCTACCAAACATTTAAAGAGTTAATACTTAATCCTTCTGAGCCCAGCATTATCCTTATATTAAAACCAAAGACACTGCAAAGAAGAAAATTACAGGCAAATATCCCTAATGAACATAAATGCAGAAGTCCTCAACAAAGTATCAAACTTAATTCAGCAGTATATTAAAAGGATCATAAACCATGACTAAGTGGGATTTGTTTCAGGGATGCAGAGTTCATCAGTACCCATAAACCAATCAGTGTGACACATGACATTGACAAAATTAAGGATAAAAAACCTGATCATTTCCATAATTGAAGGAAAAGCATTTGACAGAATTCAACATCCATTTGTGATAAAAACTCTAAACAAAGTAGGTAAAGAGGGAACATACCTCAATAAATAAAGGACACATATGACAAACCCACAGCTAACATTTTACTCCACAGTAAAAAGATAAAAGCTTTTCTTCTATGATAAGGAACATGACAGGGATGCTTACTCTCACCACTTTTATTCAACATAGTATTGGAAGTCCACCATAAAAACTATTGGAAATAATAAGTGAGTTAGGTAAAGTTGCACGATGCAAAATTAGTATACAGAAATCTGTCACATTTCTCTACACTAATAGCAAACTATGGAAAGAGAAATCAAGAAAACAACTTTTTCAATTGCACTAAGGAAATCCCAAGAGTAAACCCATATTTATATGCTCAATTAACCTACAATAAAGCAGGCAAGAACATACAGTGGAGAAAAGACAGCCTCTTCAATAAATGGTGCTGGGAAAACTGGACAGCTACATGCAAAAGAATGAAATTGGACCTCTTTGTTACACCATACACAACAATAAAGTCAAAATGTATTAAAGGCTTCAGTGTAAGAGCTGAAACCATAAAATTCCTAGAAGAAAACGTAATAAGCTCTTTGACAGCAGCTTTAACAGTAGTTTTTTGGATCTCTGAGTTCAGGCAAGGGAAACTAAGGCAAAAATAAATAAAGGGAATGTAGTCACATTCAACTAAAAAACTTTTTTTGTACAGTGAAGGAAACCATAAACAGATGAAAAGGCAACTTAATGGGAGAAGATGCTTGGAGATGAGATGTCCAATAAAGGGTCGATATTCAAACTATATACAGAAATCATACAACTCAATAACAACCACAAAAAAGCAACCAACCAACCTGATTAAAAGATAGGCAGAGGATCTGATAGACGTTTTTCCAAAGAAGACATTCACATGGCCAACAGGCACATGAAAAGATACTTTACATCACTAATCATAAGGGAGATGCAAATCAAAAACACAGTGAGCTATCACCTCACACCTATCAGAATGGCTATTATCAAAAAGAAGAAATAACAAGTGTTGGTGAGGATGTGGAGAAAAGGGAACTCTCATGCACTGTCAGTAGGAATACAAACTGGTGCAGCCGCTATGTAAAATAGTGTGGGGGTTCCTCAAAAAATTAAAAATAGATCTATTAATTCTAAACTAAATATGATCTAGTAATTCTACTTCTGAGTGTTTCTGGGTACTTATCTGAAGAAAATGAGAATACTAATCTGATGAATATATGTACTCCTATGTTCATTGCAACATTATTTATAGTAGGTAAGATATGAAAGTAACCTAAGTGTCCATTGATAGATGAATGGATAAAGAAAATGTGGTCTATATATATAGTGGAACATTACACAGGAATAAAAAGGATGAAATCTTGTTATTTGTGACAGCATGAATGGACCTAGGTGGTATTGTGCTAAATGACATAAGTCAGATAAAGACAAATAACATATGATCTCATTTATATGTGGAATCTAAAAAAAGCCAAACAAGTAAAAGAAACAAAACAAGCCAGAAACAGATTGGTAGATACAGAGAACAAACTGGTAGTTGACGCCGGGGAGGGAAGGAGTGGACAGGCAAAATAGGTGAAGGGGAATAAAAGGTACAAATTTCCAGTTATAAAATAGGTCACAGGGTGTAATGTACAGCATAGGATCTATGTTCAATAATACTGTAATGACTTTATGTGGTGACAGTAACTGGACCTACGGTAGTTATCATTTCATAATGTTTAAAAATATCAAAGTATTCTTATATACTTGAAACTAATACAAATCTTATGCCACTATAATTCAATAAAAAAATTCAGAAGTCCTAGATACAATACACACACACGTATATATTTACATATTGTGCAGTTTGTTGTGACTGTGATTGTATTTTGGTATATGTATCAGGATAGCTTATTAAGCTTCAATGTGTTTAAACCTAGAGAATGATGTCTGAATTTATAATGACAGGATAATAAAATGCCCACTGAAGAAATAAATACATAAATTCAAAAATATAATAGAATAAATATTAACTAGGTGAAATTAATCTTTCCACAACTTTTACTTGTTAAACATTTTTATTCACTGTGTTTTTATGCTTAAAAATTATTTAATTTGTTATGCTTGTATTTTTTAACCAAAAGGTACAGATAATGAATTTGTTCCTTTTCCTACTCTATGAATATGATAATTTTCCCCCAAAACATACATACCTTTAAATTTTCTAAAAACATTGTGACAATAATACCTATGTAATTATTCTTGCTACATGTAGTTCTATAAATGCATAGTTCAGTGAAAATTCCTATTTTTCATATATGCGTTTTGAATAAAATACTAATGGCTAATACATTTAGGTATTGTAAAAACTACATTATGAGGTCATTTAATTTATTCAGCCGTGACTTAAATGCTTATACTCTGGCCAGAAATAGTTTCTCTTCATGTAGCCAAGTTCAGAATCAGAGTTCTTTGAAAACAAAATTTGTGAAGTGAATCTGTTTCATATTTTTAGTTGATACTTAAATTTGGATGAGTATTCAATGTGATCTATTTCATGGAAGCTTTCTCCTAAGAGCCCCAGAGGCTTTTTATTTTAAGAATTGTTTTCCTTCATGGACATGAAAATTCTACAACTTACTTAGGTTCAAGGATATAGTAAGCTATTATATTTTGTCACTGGCTTCATTCCTTGTAACTTTTTATACATACGATGTTAATAAAATTAGAAGTGAAACATGGATTTATTTTAATTCTCTGTAATACTTCTTTTATAAGAATGTACAAGCATAACCAAGAAGAGAATAGTTATCGTACATTTTACTGTTTGAAAAGAAAGTAGAGGCTCAGTCGATTAAGCATCCAGCTCTTGATTTCGGCTCAGGTCATGATCTCCTGTTTTGTGAGATTGAGTCCCACGTCAGGCTCTACACTGACAGTGGGGGACCTGCTTGCTATTCTCTCTCCATCTCTCTCTCTGCCCCTCCCCCACTTGCATGTGTGCTCTCTGTCTCTCTCTTTCTCAGAGTAAATAAACTTAAAAGGGAAAATAAAGACTAGTTCATTGAGTTGTATAGAAATGTTTTACTGAAGAATATCACCTTTCTTTGTAAAACTTTTAAAATTTAAAATATACAACTGTAAATAATGCTCTTCTTTAAAGTAGTTTCTATTCATGAGGAATTTTTCAGTGAGAATTAATTTTTTGTAATACTTAAAGTCCCAAACGCATGATTAATTTTTGTTTTTGTATTTAGGTGTTACTTGTAAAATTATCACCGTTTTCTTCAATGGGTGTGCAATCTTTTTGTATAAGCCGCCACCATTAGACACAGATGTATCATTTCAGAGTCAGAATGCAGTTGTGACTGTTTCAGTAGAATGTGATCTCATCAATGCAGGAAATGAAGGGTGAAATAGCAAAAGGAGACCATTTTACAACCGGAAAATTGGCCTTCATTTGTAAGAATTCACATTGCCATTGCAGCATTATCCACCCGATACGGACAATCATATTTTAAAAGTTGGTATTTTGTAATTAAATGCATTTCCTGTATATTTATGAACGTGTTTGTTTTTGTTTTAATATAAGAAACAGACTTGTGCCTTCAGAACCCACCAAAAACCTCAGAACTCACACACACACACACACACACACACAGACACACACACACACACACACACACACACACACTTCCCATTGTACAGGTGTGAAATAAAAAACTAATATACTAAACTAGAGAAAAAGCCAGTGATTAGTTAAAAGTTTATATCTTAAAAACAAAGTGATATTTCTATTCTTCTTGCAACTTGTTTTAGTTTAATTATCATTACCAGTAGTTGGGGCTTATTTAGAAAATTTATGGTATGAAAATTTAAACTAACCAAATTTATGTGATGATTTTTGAGAACTATTCTTGAAAACTCATGAATTTAAAACCAGCTACTTTGTTTTTAAATTTATATACACTAGTCTGTCCATCACAAAAGGTTACTGAATTATTAGAACATAGGTTAATTATCTTCTTTGTATCCCAGTATAAAATGAATTCAGGAATAACATTGTATTTACATATTTTCACTTTAACTCAAGAATTACAGGAAGTAATTTGCTACTATTTCTTATTTTTAACACTTTCCTTTTGTGATTCCATAATAGTATTATCCAATTATATGTCTTCCGGGAGAAATACCAACTTCAGTAAAGTGCCAATTATATATGAAAAAAATTTTTTTAAATGACTTAGGTACATTTTATTGGCTTTCTTTGAAAAGACTTCTTAATAAACTGTTGATCAGTATTTACATACTCAGTAATTTAATTTTTCTCATTTTTAAACTTATCACCTAGTATATTATTTACAGCACCTAAAATAGTACTTTGCTGATAGTGGGCCTGTATTAATGTTGTTTGATTAATACATTAAACTCCACTTTTCTACTTATCATTTATTTGAAAGATATAGTATTTCACATATAACATTATAACACTCCATTTGTTTTAGCTCAGATTGAAGCCAACTTTGTCTACTCAGAATATGGAGGAAATAGATCTGTGAATAACAGATTACGAAAAATGTTGAAGTTCATACTTAATTTAGGGAGAAGAAGAAATCACCCTATATATGCATATATTTGATGAACAAGTCACTTAATAATTGGAGTTCATAATGATTTTTAGTTATCAAGGGTTTAATTGCATTCAGTGTGCTCAATTTTATAAGATGATACATTTTTATAAACTTTTTAATGAAAATGGGTAAAGTGAAAATAATTTTGGCACTTTAATGAAGTCAGACTCTTACACATATTTACAAAGAATACCTCCTTTTATGACAGGGCAGTTTAGACACTACTGTAATTTGTAATCATTATTTATACTTTTTTTTATTTTTTTTTCAACGTTTTTTATTTATTTTTGGGACAGAGAGAGACAGAGCATGAACGGGGGAGGGGCAGAGAGAGAGAGGGAGACACAGAATCGGAGACAGGCTCCAGGCTCTGAGCCATCAGCCCAGAGCCTGACGCGGGGCTCGAACTCACGGACTGTGAGATCGTGACCTGGCTGAAGTCGGACGCTTAACCGACTGCGCCACCCAGGCGCCCCATCATTATTTATACTTTTGGATCAACTAGATTATATGTGTTGGTATGCTATTTTAAGAACAAAATTTTTTCATAGTATTGTTTTTTCACAGTTTGTATGATTTTTAAAGTGAACTTGAAACTATAAGTTGACCTGTGGTTATTTTTGTACATAATTGGATATATGTCTTAAAACTTATTTTTAATATTTAGATTTCCTTAATTGTAGGACATAAAAATGTAACTTTCCACACACTCTTATGTATGGAAAGAATGTATGCAATTGATCTAGCTTTGTAAATTGGAGAAAAATATAAGTAAAATTGTATATTTTCTTTGAATATTTTCTTTAATTATGTAAAATGTATATATGTATCTCTTTAAAAATGAGAATATTTGTATTAGGTTGTTAAGTATTTAACCTTATTAATTGGCATAGATTTTGCAGTGTGTTTTATATCTGTTTATGAATACACACATTTGATGGTTGGGAAAGGGAAAATCAGTGTACTTTTGAACTTGGTGAATGTAATTTAATTCAGTGATTTTTGGTATCTCAATAGATGTATTTAATTCAATATAAACCGCATTCACTATGAAATACATGCTAAAATATTGTTCCATACTATAGTTTTCATGGATGACAGATGGACATATAAGATTTATGTTAGTAGTATACAGTCGCAGATGGCTGCTTGTCAGTTATCTGAAACTGCAAAAGTAATGTGTTGTGTGAAAGTTTTATATGTAAGTCCTCTTGGGTTATCAAAACACTCAGTACTATTTTTTTAAAGAAATCAGATTGGACATTAATTTTAGAGGTAATGTCCTTTTCCTGCACTGCAGCATATTTCAGTATTTTTCGGCCTTTTTTTGTACCCAAAACAATAAACATTAACTTACACATTACATGTGAGTGATCAAAAATAAATAAAAGAATTTGTTTTTAAAAACTGCATGGGTAAATGGTATCAAAACATTTTAGTGTTTTTGCTAAAATGAACAGCTTATAAAAATCGTCAAATAATTGGCATTTTAATTTTTCTTTTCAGATTTAATTTGACTTTCTTTTTTTTGATGCTTTATTTTGTAATAATTTTAGACTTAGGAAAAGCTGTAAAAATAGTACAAACAATTCTCCTATAAGCTTTAGCCAGCTTATCTTATGTTAACATATTAACTATCCGTAGAATGATGATGTAAACCAGCAAATTAGCATTAAAGAAATAATTAATACCACATCTGCAAAAGGGCATGGTAGAACTATTCTCTGTCATGGTAGTATATATATATTTATTAATTGTTGAAGTGTACATATTAAAATGGTGCATTTTAATATATATTTGATTTGTAAAAAGAATTGATACTAGAAACAATGTTGAAAAGCCAATTATTGTTGTGTCTTTCCAAGTCTATAGAGAATTCCCTAAGAGGATCTTGCTAGTGTCTCCTGCCTATTTGGATGTTTTCTTAGTTCAGTCCCATCAGAATGGAGTATGTATCCCAATATGGTGAAGGAGGAAAGGAACAAAGTTAGAAAATCATGGCTTAAGCCTAGGGACCAAAATACACAGAGCAGAAGCCTCGGCAGAATAGCTGCACTCATAACATCTGAAGATAAGAATTTCCCAACGTATGGGGGGCACGTGGGTGGCTCAGTTGGTTAAACATCTGACTTCAGCTCAGGTCATGATTTTCTGGTTTGTGAGTTCGAATCCCGCATCAGGCTCTGTGCTGACAGCCTATAGCCCGGAGCCTGCTTCAGATTCTGTGTCAACTCTGTCTCTGACTAGAGTTTGGATTGAGTGGTTGGCAATGACTAAAATGGAAGTTGCCTGTGGAACTTTAAAAATTAACAATGTCAAGTGCCATCCAGGTCTGATTAAGTTTGCTTTGTTAAAAATTTCCTAGGTTATTCTGGGTCATGTGGGTGGCTCAGTCAGTTGAGCATCCAACTCTTCATATTGGCTCAGGTCATGATCTCACCACTGGTGAGTTCCAGCCCTGAGTTGGGCTTTGTGCTGACAGCCCAGAGCCTGCTTGGGATTCTCTCTCTCTCTCTCTCTCTCTCTCTCTCTCTCTGTGTGTCTGCCCCTCCCCTGCTTATCCTTTCTTTCCCTCTCCCTCTCTCTCTCTTCCTCTCCATCTTTCAAACTAATTTTTAAAAATTCCTAGTTTATTCTAAAGTGTAATCAGTGCTGGAAACTGCTGAGAGCTGAGATACTACTGAGGCTTTTTCTAGAAGCATGTGCTCTCTGGGATGAGGTAGAGTGAGTTGGGGAAGAAAGGGTGGTAGAAAGTTGGAAAGCAACGGAGAGAGAGTCACTTGTTTTTAAATTTTTCTAAAGGCTCTTGATTTTAGAAATAAAAAAATCAGAGAATATCACTAGATTCCTTCTTTTCCTGCATTAGTGAGCTATTTCAGTAATAATGTGGACATAACACCCACTACAGGATTATTTCATGGAGAGATCCAAGAGTAGTTGGGTTGAGTGCATGGCAGCATATGGTGATGTAATGGGATAAATTCTGATAAGGAAAATAGAGAATTGACATAGCTCAATGGAGATGGTAAAGGCACTGACCGACATAAGACAAAGACTTCCTGGTACATGCTCCTTAGCTATATTCTTGAATCTTCCAAAGAATGTGGAAACAGCTGACTCATCTGGCTTCCCAATTACAGAAACTCTGGCACATCTTTTTGCTAGTTGTCTGCAAAGCAGGAGCTTGCCCAAGAAAAGGAAAAAATGAATCACTTTATCAACTGTCTGCCTTATTTTCTTTGTGGTATATACGTCCTGCTTTTCAATTGATTAAATAGATCTATTATTGGCTTTCCTTTTATATGAGTGAATGGTGTAAAGATAATTACCATATGTCTTTGATAAGCAATTTGAAACTCGGAAAATTATAAACAGTAAAGCCAGTTGGGTAATACTGCTTACAGAACACTTTAAACTGAAAAAAGAAAAGGCCAGATAGTTCTAGTGAAAATATTACTTATTGTGGATCTGTTGGATATGAGGAAATGCATTAGATGTATTACACATTTTGACTCACTACAGTCTTATCAATTTCTTCTTAGGTGAGACAGCTAAAGCCCAGGGAAATTAAGTTTTCAAGGCCAAAAGGTTAGTAAGTGTCAGCACTAGAACTTGAATCTGGGTGTCTGTGGCTCCAAGTCTCATGCTTTTGTTTTTATCGTTGGTATGCTGAGGTTAACCACGTAGATATTTTTTTAAACCCCAAACACAACTTTTATTTGTGGGAATTATCCAATATCCGTCAATGCTAAAAATTATATTTTCTGAAGTTATAGTTAGTAAATAAGCAAATTTGAAGCACTAAACAAAAAATCCATTCCGAGGTTGCAATTTATATTTTTACCAGAAGGTGGCGGTGTTGTTTTTACTATAATAATAAAAAAAAGTGTTTTGCTTTAGGAACCTTTTTGTTGTTGGAGTATTTCTGGCT